TAAAAATCAAATGAGAAGCCTGAATAATCACACCTACAGATGATTTTCTTACAGACACGACAAGGGCTGTTAACAACTACATAAAATAACAGTTACCTGTGACTGGTTTGGGAAAGGACTTGCATCAACAAAGTTCTTGCTGGCTTGGGGACATGCAGGTAAAGGTAGTTGCAAGTCTGGTTTTCCTTATTTCTAACAGATGGCCCAGTTCCTAACACTGACTAAATATCTACCTGGCCTGACCTCTGTGGTTGGAATAGATTTTCATTTATCTCAGACATCATTAAGACGCAGAAACTAAACTATATGCATCTATGTGGAACTTGTTTGGGTTTGTTCAGAACAAGATCTAAACATCCTCTATCAATTATGTGTATAATTAACTTCACACTCTTCAAAATGTGCCAGATTTCAACGAGTTTCTTCAATGAATCTGATACATATCCAACAAGTCTTTTCATGTTGTTGCATTGGTTTTTAGTTGATTTTTCTTAGGCAGCTATGTTAAATTAGTTCAAATATATGGTGTGGACAGAACTAAAAAACAAAAATGCAAAGCATTGGAATATTATTCCTGTTTTCTCTCTGTCCTTACACTCAAACTGGTTTGTTGCAGGATTTCAGGTTGGGCCCACACTGACAGAGAATATTTGATACTGTATATTGACATCGGTTCTCACCCTCTAACTTTCATTATTATTCTTAAGCCATTCTCATCTATGACTTAAAATACAACCACTCTTTTCACCCAACCTGAAGTGTACTAGATTATTCTGGATTTTTCTAATTATATAGCAGCCTATAGCAGCTGCTGAAAGAAGCCAAAGGAGTCGGTCAGGAAGCTCCTTTGGAAACACAATTGGCTCTAGAAGTCAGTCCCACTAACTTAGTTGTAGGTCACAAGTGTGAGTATTAGGGAAGGAAAACCATAAACAGGAGTTATGTACAAAGGAAAGGCAACATGGAAAAACTATTTTCAAAACCATACTTATAACGAAGTATAAGTGCTTTCACTAGAAAAAATGGTTACTTACCAGAGTAACTTGGTCCTTTGATGTGTGTTATGCATGGAGATCTCAATCTCATTATTCTTCTTAAGGTTTCTGCTTGCCTAAAAAGTCAGCATTCTTCAGTGCTATGGCTTACATCGTGTAATGAGCCCCTTACTACATACAGCCTGAGAAGTTTAGTTTCCCATAGCGCGGGCACGTTTTGTTCTATTGTGGGGTTCAGAAGGGGTGTGTGTGGTGTGTTCTCTATCATATGAACACCATCATTTCTATAAAATTTGAATGTATTTGCGCAGATTAGGACATAAACTGAAAGTACCTCTGTCCCTATAAAGACCACACTATTAATTTAAGGTCTGACCATCCCTTAGCTTTCAAGCTTATACAGTATCACATCAAATGCTGCTTTACTATTATCAGCCATCAGGTTGCTAAAATTTAAGGATAGTCATATACCTTGCTAACATTATACCAGTACCCTCAGAGTGACTTAACCTTTCAACAAAGTTTGCGTGTGAAGGGCATGGAAAGATCTGTTCTGGGTGAGAGTAATTAACGCTCAGATGGACTTTCTATTGGAATTACTCCTGCTTCAAAGAATGTTGTGAACTTTAAGTAAGCACTTTTGGTAAATACATTTGGTGTCTTCAGACAATAAATTAGGTGTAGCCTAGGATTTTATTTATTTTAGAGACTGAGCCAGAAGACATGACTTGGAGGTCACCTAAGAGAAATACCAATGCCAAAGTATCTGAATCCTACAGTCCACTGAAGAATACTGCAATAAACAACATGTGCTATTCATCTGCTTTGGTTTCCTCCAGATCACTGCTACAATAAGGATTACCAAGAAGCATATAGCAATCGCAGGGCCCAGAAAGTTAAAAAGCTTCTGAAGCAAAAGCAAGAACATGGATTGTATCGGAGCATTTCTTTTTCTTGCTCTATAGAACACTCTCTACTCACTCCTAGGAAAAAATAATCACAAAAACACACTCTTTGTGCCATTGGACCATTCACTGACAACTGGAGAATTTGGGAGAAGTATCTTCTCTCCTACTGAAAATCTATTATACTCTATTGCTAATGGAAGAAAGTGGTGAAAGAATTTGACTTAGAAGACTTCCTGAGACTCATTAGATGAGCAGTCATCAACTTAGGCAGAGCAACCATGTCTGTCAACACCTGGTTTATGAACCCCTAGCAAGGACAGAAGTGGTTTTTATGCCACAGAGCACCCAGAGCAGTAAGACATTTGTATTTAATGAACTTCCTTTAAAAAGTACAGATTATGTGAAGATTTAGCTAAATAATTCACCTTGTCTTCAGGGAAGCATCCAGTGCTACAAAGCTAAAAGGCAGATTCACACAGAATAAAGGGTACACCTAAGTGCAGCCTGTCTTTCCACCGTTTTAACAAAGCCAGATCTACTTCTCAGATTGTGTCCTTGTGCACACAGAGTTACCTGCATACACCAAACAATTCACTCACCTGACTTTAAATTTAAATACCCTCAAAAGAATTTGATCTTCACTCAGGTATACCGGGATTGTAGCTTGAATAATCCTAAATCCACAGGTGGCCCAGCACAAACACATGCCAACACTTGCAGGAAAATCACCTGTCAGCTGTTCCTCATGATGAACATCAGCTCTTCCATGTTTCAGAGGGTGACAGTCTCTAAACTTGAGAGAATCTTTTCCTGTTCACCAAATTCTACTTTGTTAGGAGCATTTGATAACAAGCTGCCTACATATGACAGTTCACTGACAAATTCTGTGTCATTTTAGTGAGTTTTATGTCAGGACATTCAATTAGGAAGCTCTTGCTATTCCTAATTCTCTGGGATAGTTCCTCTGAAAATGCTGGCACAAGGTATGAAATCCTTAGAAGGCAGTTACTGCTTTCCAACCATGTCTACTTATGCTATTAGATTCCAACACCTGGTACAACACCTAGGTAATTTTGAAGTATCGATCATCTCTAGACAGGACAAGCACACCAAGTCTGGTACGCAGTACGCTGCAGTTGGCATTCCTGATTTGCCATCACCTCGAGGATCATTCCAAGGGCCTCTACATTCACAAGCAGCCAGAATGCTTTCAGTCAGCCTGAGAATGCATGACATGACAGCGATTCAATAGATGATGAAGGAACTGCAACTTTTCACATAGCTTCCTAATATGCAACTATCTGCTTACCTGTTGATACTTATGGCTCTAACAGATTTATCCACTGAAATTTATGCTACCTGAGAGAAGGGAATCTGCCCTTCCAGCAGAGTCAGTAAGCTATTTCAAAATAGAATTTCATACTTTATGATACCCAGCAAAGATTTACCCACATTAATGGCAATAGTTAACCACAACCACCTGATTGTTATACTTTATAACCTTTCCTACCAGAAATTATTAAAGCACCCAGGAACTGGGTCAGAATCCCTTTGGTCTCCACTGTGGCTCTTATGCACCAGGTCAATAGCTAACCTTCAGCTGCCTAGTCCAGAGATGACAGAGACCTGCTGACTCGCTTGCAGACTACACTATGCTCTTTTGTGACAAAGGATCTGCACAAGATAGTAACTAAAATGAAAAATGGCTCCTTAGCTTTTGAATTAACAGAAAGATAGTGCTACTTCTATGAACAGGAAGGAAATAATCCTAGCGATTGCCAATGTTATTAACCAGCCAGTGTTTCAACATAAAACAGCAGTCTTACTGTCAAGTTTTACCTTGGGTCCACAGGGAGAGGTAAGCAGATCTGAGGGGGAAGAAAAAGGTCATGTAGGCATCTAGGGAACAGGTAATGCCCAAATGGATATTACTGGCCAAAAGACTCCTGCAAGGTTTACTTGAAAGAAACAGGGAACTGAGAATCAGGGACTTTTGTATACTGTTTGGTGAAACAGGAGCAAATAAGAAAAAGTGACTTCCAGAACAGGCCCTGGCAGACAGTTGCAATCTAAATTAAGTACACACTTCAAACTACTCTAGGAGGTCAAGCACCTCAAGATTATACCACAGCACAACATCAAGGATATGTATTTTCATCTTTTTCAGATGTTGCATTGTCATCAACTTTACTGATGTAATAAAGCTAGAAATATCTAGGTGATGACAGAATATATAAATGCACATAAATCTACCATTAAAAATTCTAATTCTCCAGATACTTAAAAATAACAAGTGTGCTGCTTTTAAAAAGTGTGAGAAGTTGTGGTATTCAGACCAGTAATATTTATTGCACAAATCAAAGAAAAATAGATTTATATAAAAGAGAACTTAGATGACCTTTGAGCTAGCTCAGGTGCCAGTAGCAGTCTGGATGCAGTGACACACAACGGCTAACTTTTCCTGCTTCTTACCATACCATTACAGAAGGATGTACAGAACTACTAAATATACATATACACTAAATGTTGGGAGGGTAAAAAAAAACAACAAAAACAACAACATAAGCTTGGGGACTAGACTTCAGCTCAAACAGAAAGGCATCCTTTAAGAAAAAATACTGCTCCTGTTTTAAACAGGTAAATATGAAATAAAGTTACTGGGATTTGCATGTGTAAAGGTGATTTGGTGGTTAGCACTTCAGAAAAAAAATGTTTTGAAGTTACACCTGACAGAAGCAAATACTAGTCTCTACATTGGCACAAAAATTAATGTTCTTTACAATTTTTCAGCTCCTGAGCAGAATTGCATTACAGCTGCTCTACTAAGAAAATAACTAAATATACCACCTTTGGTGGAAACTCCGTGTTAACACAGGTGAGCAATATCACATCTAGATGGCTGTAGGTGGTGGGGGGAGGGAGGAGTGTATGTGTGGTTTGGGTTTTTTCCTTCTTTTCAGCATACTGGGTTATTTTGCTTGTTTGTTTAGCATGTGATAAAATTTCTCCTCAAACTTATGATTAATATATATTTTAACCCATCAGTGATGTTAGGTAACTCAATCTCTGCTCTGAACAAAAGACAGGACAGCTTATGTAGAGATAACATCCCCGAAGCAGCATTTTATTTTATTCATTTAATTCCAAAACATTTAATTTAGAAGTCTGGCATCTCAGTCATCCATCTTAACATGGGCTAATATTGACAAAGTGTTGTCAGAATACACAGACAACTAAACAGCCAAAGAGTTTACAAAAAATAAATTCATGATTCTTCAAAACAACTGCAAAAGGTTACAAGTATCAAAACTCTTAGGTAGATGCACTGCATTAAAAGAAACTGTGCACATAAGTTAGAGGCAAAAAACCAAATTGCTACTGAAACCTCACATTTCAAACAGTTTATTGTAAACTGATGAACAGGGTTGTCATTTCACATCAGCTTAACTGTTTTCATTGACTGAAAAAAATTTGGGGTGGCTAATTTATTTTGCATGCACAAAATGTACTGCTTAACAGAACTGTCAGCTCATTTCAAATGGAAAAAAAAATTTAACTGGACTCTAATCACTTTCCATTATTCTTTCCCATATTTTCCAATCAACAGGCAAACTAAAAATGCCTCATTTACTATGCATCTTTCTGCACTGCTCAAGTGCAACTAAGATAAATAGGGCCAATAAATCAATCAATCCATCAATGCCCACAAAGACTCATCTGAAACTGCTTCTTGATAAAGTGGACAGCAGATCTGAACAGCTGTACAATACAGATATGCTTAGCACTAGATATTTAGTGTGACTGTGGCAAGGAAATATTGGTGATGATGGGGATGGTGAAGTGGATGAAAGAGGGATTGAAGGAAAGCTTTCTAATTATTGCCCTCTCCTGCTTCTTCATCTTGCTGATCACTCGTCCACAGAGTGAGGTTATCTCGAAGCAACTGCATGATGAGAGTGGAGTCCTTGTAGGAATCCTCATTTAGTGTGTCCAGCTCTGCTATGGCATCATCAAAGGCTTGTTTGGCTAAAAGGCAGGCCTGCTCAGGAGCATTCTGGATTTCATAGTAGAACACTGAGAAATTGAGTGCCAGCCCAAGCCTAATTGGGTGAGTGGGCTGCATGTGCTCTTTGCTGATTTCAAAAGCCTCTTTATAGGCAGCTTCTGAGGCTTCCACAACACTGTTCTTCTTCTCTCCAGCAGCAACTTCTGCCAAATAGCGGTAGTAATCCCCTTTCATTTTCAGATAAAACACCTTGCTCTCATACTGGAAGTCATTGCAGTTCTTGATCAAGTATTTATCTAGGAGAGCCAAAACATCATTGCAGACTGTCTCAAGCTCCTTTTCTATCTTCTCCCTATAGGCTTTAACCTTCTCCAGCTTCTTCTCATTCCCATCTGCCATAGTCTTCTGCTCTATGCTGCTGATGACACGCCAGGAAGATCGTCTAGCTCCAACTACATTCTTGTAGGCTACAGACAGCAGGTTTCTATCCTCATTTGAGAGAGGCTCATTCAGCTCAGTTACCTGAAAATACAAACAAAGATCAAATTTAAAGGGTTTGTCTTAGAGAGTGCAAATTTCCTTCAATACTTCCATCATGAAGTGCAAGATTCGAAATTCCTTCTAGATCCCAAAATTCCTTCTAGACCGGAGTCAATTTGTAACGTTGAAAGTGGGTATTTAGAAGCTATTGCAAAGTACATTCACTGAATAAAAGTGAGTCAGGCTTGTGTAACAGAGAAGCATTCAGAGAAGGAAGGCTCGGGTTTTTTAGGAAGTCTGCCAGAAATATAATATGTAGACACCACACTTAATGATTCATTTAAATGTACCTAGAATACCAGTTTTATGAATCTGGAACACAGCACAGACACTGGAAACTGGTGCAGTTCTTGCATTTCTTTCCCCTGCTGCTTGCTTTCGTTCAACAGCAGAGATGGAAGCGCTGCAGTCATTATGCTTAAGCTCTGCATAGTACAAATGGAATTAGTGTTTCATAGTATCTTTCAGTCACTTAGTGAACAATTATACAACATAATACAGAAGTTATCCTGATTTCTGCTAACTCACGGCTACAGACAAATTTCAGGGATAGGACATGAAAGAACCTGCATAGAAATAAAACAGAAAACCAAGGGAAAAAAACATGATCAGCTCTAAATTCCTACTACACAAAGCTGAGACAGAAAAGGGATAATACTACTAATACTATATTTAGGCCTATTTCACTTGCTGTGTTAATTTAGGGAATAAAACCTATCAGACTTATAGTTGAAGTTGTTCTACTTTTGCAAATTTGCAAACAGGAAATTAAACTCACAGGAATTAAAATGAAAAACATAACTCCACTATTTTAAGCATACTGCATTAAAAGAAGTCACCAAATTTCTAAGGATATGTACTCCAGTGTGAAAGTAAACTTGTCCTTGCTTGGACACTGCTTATATAATTAACAATTTCCTTTCAAATGTGCATATTTACACTGCTTGACAGGGGCATCAGAATGTTCACAACTTTATACTATTCTGAGACTGCTGGTGTAGTCAGTGTACTATCCAATAAATGTGCACCTTTCCACATCTAAAAAATAATTTATATAAATTATAACTGTTACAGTAAGAGCTGACTTTCAAATTTAGGTTTTGTTCTTAAAATATTCTATGTCAATTAGTTTTATCTCCAAAATGCCTTTTCCCCACAGCTCAGGAACCCCAGCTCCCAAAAGACATTGTGCTGCCTGGCCTAATACAATAGAGACAACCTGCAGAGGGTAAAATGCACAGCAACCAACACTAATGACATCTTCGTAATCTTCTGCAGTTTCCAGTCAACATCCTCCCAACAATCCCTCCCTCAACAATCTCTACTATGACCCATTTGTGTCATCTTCTCTAGTAAAGACATTAACTCCCTCAAGATATAGAGGCTCAGTTAAAAGCTATTTATTCCTACAGTCTATTAGTATAGCACTTTTACAAAAATAAAATAAATCCACAAAGATTAATAATCACTTAGTCATTCCTGCACTGCTGGAGAACTTTGCTTGAGAGTTCATTGCAAGTTCTCACACACAGTGGTTGATCTAAAGGAGTCAGTAATGTTTTGCTAAAACTTAAACATCATTTAACCACACAAATGCTTTCCCACCCACCTGTCTTCATTATCTTTATAGTATTAAAAAAAAAAAAAAAAAAAAAAAAAATCTGTTACTATACTACTGGGCTATATTACCCACAAAAATAAAAACTGAGTATAGAAAAGTAGACAAGGCACAAAAATAACTGAGCATGGGACTTAGTGGGAGAGGACAATAGTAACAGAAATACCATCTCTAGGCTTTGCCATCCAGACTCCACATGAAAGAAATTAAATCTCCAAGACTGCAACTGCAGCTATTCTAATTCTTCACCTGATACATCTTCACCTCATCCTCCACTCACCGCCTCTGTTCCTTACCCTCAGCTAACTGCTACCTTCATGTTCACCCCTTTCCCTCTGCTTCAAACTAAGTAACAAAAAAAAAGCAGTAATCCTCAACCTTGTTATAATTTTTTCTACCTCCTTAAGGTGATTTCTTAAACTTTGTAATATAAATTTTTAGAAACAGATGTCTTCTGTGTATTCAAAACACCAAAACAGCATTTTTACAGTACGTAACAAATGCCCTGGGAACCATCAAAAAACTTTTGAGTATTACCTGAATTTTTACTGTGCTATACAGCTAGTGTATTTAGTTTAGGAGAGATAAATTAATCAGTGTTTTTTTTCCAGTCGATTGTCTCACTTCCATTTTTAATTGCAGAAGATGCATCACAACACCCACCCTGAGAAAGCTGATTTATAAAGCCCACTTGCACAGGAGCCATTGCAATCGCAGATAACCTACACCTGAAAAGCCTTCTGACCTTCCCTAACCACAACCAAAATTCAGTGCAAGTGACAATAAGCAGCATATTTGCAGAGATTTCTGAAGATCACATTAATAGAGGAAGGATCTTGTGAAATCAAGCATGAACTCTGCTAATCTTTGCTGGTCTTTACTCAACATTCAGTATTAGAAGTAGGTCTATAGTACAATCTTTAAAATGCAGTGTAACTTTTGGAAGCATCTTCCTACTATATTTAGACTAAACCTAAACTGGCTAGCTGTTGCATCAGTTTGGGCCGAGTAAATTTGCTAACTATCAGTAAGTACCAGACTAACAGAACTTATCCTGACATAGCAAGATTGAGGAATAGCAGGGAATACTCAAGATACATTCACACAGAGCACAACACACACACACCAAAAAAAAAAAAAAAAAAAAAAAAAAAAAGAGAGAGAGAGAGAGAGAGAGAGAGAGAAAAGCCATCTCTCAGGACTAATTGTAGAACAAGAATGTTAACTTCTTAACCAAAATACAAAAATATCTAAGATAAGACCAACAGACTTAATTAAGGGATTATTCCAGATCCTCACTAGACTGCGGTATAATTTAATTCCCAAGACTAACTTAAACTCACCTTGAAACCATACCTTAAAGTAAAAAGGAAAAATTGACCAAGCAGCTAATTCAACATGCTTAGGAAATGTTTACTAGCTTTAAGATGCATCAGAAGTTACTGATGTAATCTTGGATAATCAGCAACTACCATCAACTCAATTATTCCCTATCCTAGCTAAAAAATGCTGATACTCTATGTAGATATACCTCAAAAACACATCTACCTCCCTGGTATAACAGCTATACTGCAAGAAACTAGACACAAAGAAAAGCATGTGACCTTTATGGAGCTGTCAGTTGTTTTATCTATTTCTGATACATTAGCAAAGTAGCTAAGAACAGATGCTTCTCTTCACATGTGGGGATGATATACAGGAAAAGAAAAATTTCTTTCAGCATTTTATGTTATTTCCTTCTCTTCCATTCTACCTGTAACCTTTCTTTAATAGAAAAATCTTGGACTGCAATAATTTGCTTTTACATGTTAGACACAGACATACTTTCTTATAATGGCCATTAGGGAAGTCTTAAAAGATGAAAAGCCATTTGTAGTATAACTTCAGAATAGTATTTACTTACTATAGATTACACTATACTTTCCTTATACAAACACACTTCTCTCCCCTCCCACCTAAATTTGGGGTTATGTTCAGTCCTGAGCCAGACGATGCAGTGGAACACACAGGCTATGATATGCTAGCAGTTTTCATTCAGACTCACTGTCTGCTTTTTGTAGTGAGAATACAGTGTAAATCATTTATTTCTATCATACTTACAGATATCTCTACATACTTATTCCTCCTTTGCTTTACACCCACAATGTTCTTTCATAGGTTACTGGGAAAAAAAAGTGAGTATGTAAAAGGAATCCCAGCTATAACCCTGGAATTCCTAACTACACATGCTGATGAGTGTGACAGTACTGTATCAGCTCAGAAATTACTGCCATGTGTGCGATCCCACATAGGCCATACCAAGCTGAGTTACTTTCGCATGGAAAACACACCAAAGTGAAGGTTCCACAGACAGATCTATGATGCTCTGACGGATTATTTAGTAGAATTTGACCGAGGACAACCAAATGTATGTGATTATATTTCTGTTTTGTTAGCCAGAGGATATAAGTTACAGCTAGAGCCAGTTCTTAACAAGATGTTGTAAAAAATGACTATACCTGAGCCAGTATAAGTCAGGTTTAATTATTAAAACTCTACTGATACAAACTTATACTGTCCATAATTTCTAAACAAATAGAAACCAGACTAATGAATTTAAACAAGATCAGTTTCCTGCATCAAGTTGCTTCAGTGTTTTGTATCAAGGATTGGCAGTCCTATAGCTCGATTTACTGTACAAAACCCAGTAAGGAAGTAAACTCACAGCAGGGGAGGACATTGTTTACATTAAAGGCATCTCATTCCCCCTCTTACACACACATACTTCATTAACACAAAATCAGACACTGATGTGAAAAACTCAGTGATGCAATACTAAAAATATGGAACATCCCAAACGTTTAATCCCATTTATCCACACAGATAAAGCCTATAAATTAAACTAGAACCTCAAGTTATTTTGCTTAAAAAAATTTTAGATCATTCCAAGACTTAAATTTATTTCACACGACTAATGCTAATATTATACATCTCATAACTCAGATTCATCTTACCAGTTTAAAGGTGTATATGACTTTCTACCCACCGTGTAACCATACTCAAAAAGCAACATAAATCAGTAGAGGTCCTGAGCACTACGTATTAGGATTAATACTGTCTGGAATACTAAGGGTTTATACATCTAAAATGTTTAACTATTTCTGGAATGATCTAAACCCAAAGGTACCCAATGCTGTATTCAAGATGCTAGGGTATCTGTTCTATCAAGTAAGAACCTTTAAAATTTACACCAGAAGCGCATCTTTCCCCAGTGTGTCAAGAAGTAATTTTTTACCTACCGTGTAGGGTTATCTCAAATAGTTGGAATCCTGGAGCAGCATTTAATACAATGAGAATGACACACCCCTTGGAAGAATGCCATTTAGTAAAGGCACATTTATATATGATTGTATTTTCTATTAAAATAATTTGGCTGGAAAAAAGTAAACTAAACTCATTAATTTATAACAGCAAACTAAGTGAAAGTTAAGTTTCTTCTCCTGCCTACACATTGTAAGCCAAAATATTAGAATTCTTTTACGAAAAAAGTTTAACAGCAACAACAAAAAATGTATTATTGAGCAGTTAAGATAAAACTACTTCATCTGGCTTTTCTTTAAAAGAAGGAACCAATAGGACTGAAAAATAAGTGTTTCTCCAGCTTGATGACAACTGAAATGGCAGTCTTGTCATACCTTTTTTTTTTTTTTTTTTTTTCATAATCATGCAAACAGACTTTGTTACCTTGTTTTTAGGAGTAGCTCTCAGGCTGTCGGCTATACTGTGTATTGTGTAAGTGTGGTGATAAATATCTAGAACTGAAATTAATAATTCAGAGATCTTTTTACATTGGAAGCACACTACTTTCATATAGCACTTAAAAAACCATCAGACATGTTATATTCAGATATTTTACAAAAATTTTTAAAATAAACTTTTCAAATCATGATATCCTGCATTGAGAATAGATTTCTAAGTTAGAACACTGATTTCCTGTTGAAGCAAGTCTGACATCTCTGGAGTGCAAGATTATTTGAATATTATTCTATATGGATAAAAAACTCCTCTTAATAGCAGTTATTTACAATCACTGAAATAGAAGGAAATATTAGCTGTGTAAGAAGACACAGCCCACATTTCACAGGAGCTTATGTTCAGACCTACAAAATCATCTTCAAACACTGAAGAGCATTCTGGAAATTACCATGTTCGAGTGAACACCTGTAATTGAAAGCCAAGTAACCAACAGCTGCTACATTATAGGCATGCAACATATATGAACAGCTTAAAGAAACTGTTGCCTTTTAAATTCAGCTTTACTTTTTGTATTTGTAAAGTATCTATAATGTAATGTTTCATAAATGCTTAAGACTCAGCTCACTGACAAAGTGTTCTCAAGCTCCCAATTACAGCAGCTCATCATTATACAACTCACTTGAGAGCAAAAGCAGCATGACAGAGCAGAATACCATGACTCAAGATGAATTACATAGTAATTAGGACAGTCTAAAAAGACAACTGAACATACACACTAGTTATATGTACTTTATTTACATATTTCTGGATGCACAGCAACTGCATTTAGTTTGTTCCACGTATGTTCAGAGCGCCATGCATATACTATAGGTCAGTGATATCTGGAAAAATAGAGTCTACGAACTACAATTAGAAATACTCTTCTAGAGCAGCAGTGGATTTTAGTGATTTCTCCATTTCATCTGTTAGAATTAGCAACTATCAGATTAAAGAGATAAAGAGAGCTGTTACTACTACATATGTATCAAGAATTCTAGTGATATGATTAAAATACAGCTTATTTTAATGCCTAGTGCCTCTGATATTGAGATACCCAGAACTATTGCTGCTTTAGAACTGGATTGGTCATAGTGTTTATTATGACACAATTGCAAACATGAACAAGAGCAGCAAAATGTGTCATCTTACTGCCCTCGTTTAAGGGAGGCGACATACATCACAGCCCTCAAATGAGGCTAAATGGATTGATTCTTAGAACAGAAATGTGAACTCCATCTGAAGTTGCTCTTTCAAACTAAAATCATCTTGTGTCTTTAAACAGCAGTACTCTCAAGGGAAATTTGATTCCTCTTGGGGCCTCTGGTGTTCACAAAGGACAGATCAGCAAGAACAAACCAATTGTAATCAGATACAGCAAAAACACTGCTAAGCATTTACCGGCATTAACATTACCCTTAACAGTCAGATTATACGAATACTTTGTTTTTAAAAGAAGGGACTAGACATATAAGTTTGATCATTCTGCAATTTTATTATGTATCAGTACAGACAGGTCAGTACAAGTAATGGTCATTGCTTGGTTCTGAAAGCAGCCGAGCCGCGACTGTAACTTATTGTTTAAGCACATGTCAGTATTCAACTGGGCAAGGAAGGCACTGAGAGTTTGTTACCCTACAAAGAAGAGGCAAAAAGGCAACGTTAAAGCTTGGGAAACGCTCTCTGTGCACTGGGTAGCTGTTATACCCGGATGCAACTCCTGTACCATCTTTGAGTCAGAGTCCTGGTGGCTGTGGGTGAGGCCTCTATTCGTGCCTTTTATCGCGAGGCAAAGGAAACGTCTAGAAAAGGGGCTCCTGCGCCGCTTCCCCAGACACCCCCCGCCGCAGCGGCCACCCCA